AATTGAATATACTGGCCTGTAGTTAATTGAATATACTGGCCTGTAGTTGTCCCCTTTATGCCAAAATTTATCCTTGACTGAAAAAGCAGATATGAGTGACACCCATCACCATGCAAATGGAGGTCAGAGGTGTGGTCAGGGAAAAGCTCCAGTGGAGTAACCTGCACTTCACCGTTTGCAGCATTTTGAGCTAAAATGGAAATGTAAGAGCTACTGTTAGGTCTCCTCCTGATTTATCTCTGCAAGATAGCTGTAAAGTTATTTGAATAGTTGTGTTGCTGTCCAGACCTTGTGTTCTATGTAATGTGATACTTAGTAGCTATCTTAAGACTGTTTAACAGGGGGTGTTAACTCTTGCAACTTCTGACAATACTAGGGTGTACTGGGCTCTGTGTGCCTTCTGCTTTTGCTCTGTAGGGAGGAAATTACAATGTGCCTTTTTCTCTTCTGCTTAGTAATCAGCTCCTTCCCAGCTAGGCTCTGAGAAAAGTGGAAGAGAGCCAAGAATCTAGAGCTGCTGGGGAAAAAAGCAGTGATGTGTCATTGCTGTGCTGGTATGATACCTATCAGTGTAGGTCAGCTGTGCTGGAGGAGGGTGGCCCAGAATGCAGGACACCCTATGTAGATTGGTTGTCAAAGGAGCAATATGAAACTTTTAAGAATGTGATGCAACTCTGTGCCAAAGTAATAACTGAAATAATGGAAAGCATTGAAATTATATTTTGATTATTCTATTTTAAAAAGGTATAATACTTCAAATATTACTATTTTATTATATAATATCTAATACAATTAAATATTATATTTCAAATATTATATAGTCAGATATATTGAAAATAATGAAAAAAGGGAGATACTTTTTCACACAGTGCATTTCAGTTGCATTTTTGGTTTTCTCTGTTGGAAGATTTCTGTTCAAGAACTTATACAAAATTTTGTCTTTGAGTTCGGCTCTTGGTAAACAAATTCAGCTATAATTGATTAAGAATTCTATAAATAGATCTATTTTTCATTAATGTTAATAAAATACAGGAGTACTATTTCATATAAAGCACTGAGCAGCCAAGAGGAGGAACGTGGCCTATTTTTGTTCATTCCATTGCTTGTAAAAAATGAAGTTGTGCAAGGAGCCCCACCTCAGTTTATGAGGGAGGATAGCATAGAAGAAAACAGGAATGTTATAGATCAGGTGGTGAAGATGACAATCTAATAGTTTTCACACTGTGTATACTTTATATCCTCCTACTTTCTTGATAAGTGAACCATGTGGGCCAGGAAGTTAGTACAGAATAGCTGCTTCAGCTTTTGTGATGTTTTGGATACCAGTAGGCTCAGTGTGTGCATCTTTATTGTTGGGGGTTTTTTGTTTGTTTTTAACTGTGGTTTTTTTTTCATTCTGCTGTTTGCACGTGATATTTTTTACCACTGACATCCATACACTATTTGAGAAACAAAGGAATTATTTCTTGAAGTAATTCTTCCTCTTTGCGTTTGCCAAAGTGCACAAGATCAAGTGTGGTAGCTAATCATTGGTTATTAAATAGCAACAATTCAAGGTTTACTGCTGCCAGGTCCTGCCCTGCTCTGTTTCTGATGTGGAAAAGGAGGAAGTGTACTCAGTGTGAGCATTACTTCAGGTAGAGTTTGATTTCTGAAACAAATACATTAATCTGGAATGAATGTCATAATTTGGCAGGAAAAATCAGTTTCTAGAGACTGAGCAAAATGCTGGCGTAGATCACCCTGTTAGGCCCCTCTAGCTGATGTTTATAGTGTTGTGCAGTAGAGCTACTGTGACCCCAGCTGTGAAAGTCCCATAGCACGGTGTGTGAGCACTGATTAGGGGTAGCAGATTACTTTTTTTTTTCCACTTAACTGGAAGAGAACAGAATCTAGGTGGTTCTTACTTGTTTTCTTGTTTCCTGCAGTGGCATTGCCATTTTTCTGGTGAATGTATTTCTAAGAAGCAATATAGCAGCTTTAAATTCGGGGTAGGATTTGTTGTTCATACAGATAAAGCAACTGGAGTGAGCTCTTAGAGGTAACTGTTCTGTGCTGAATGAAGACAGATCCTAGATGCCAAATTCAGGTACTTGCAAGATAGTGAAATGTCAAAACACCTTGTGAGTCTCATCTTGGAGTTCTTTTTTCGCTAATTACACCCTACTTGTTTTGAGTTTGGTGACAGAAGAGGTTTTTAAGCCTTTCTTGTTGAAACTGAAGAGTATGGTGCTTTTCCAAAATCAAAGGACTACAAATAATGTCTTCTTTCAATTTGATCCACATACTGACTGCTGAACTGGTTAAAGGGACTATATTTTTTTATTTGGATTAGAAAGCGAAGTGATGACATGTCTGGTTTGCTTTTTTTTTTTTAACATATAGTAAGAACTGCACACAAAACCACAATACTGAGGGAAAGTCTTGACTGCTGTACAGTTGGATCCCTGAAATGACCTGTTGAGGTGTTCCTTATCTTCATGCATTGTGCAGACCTACTGGGAACAATTTAAATGAAACCCAAAGTGATTGTTCTCTGTGGGCTTCTCTTCAGAACTTTGTAAAAATCCTGTGATATTCTGGGAAGAATAAGCTGCTTTGGGCAAATAGCTTCAGTTGGATTAACAGTGTTTTAGTCAACCTAGCAGATTACCTGTCCTCCTTGCATTCCTTGGAATGGCTTATTCATTGGGATTCATCACATGGATCTTAACATAGTATATATACCCCAGTGTTTTCTGTTTTCCTTACTGCTCATGCTTGTCTTTACTTGCTTGCTCTTGGTATGAGAGATTCTAGATAAGTGTTCAGTGCAATCCCTGTTTCATGAATGAGGTGATGTATTGCACAGATCTGATGTCTCTTAACTTCTTAGCTTTCCTTGCATTTGGAGTCCTCTAGCTCTAAGCTGTCCAACTTGTCACTTACCTGTAACACAAATACTACACTCTAGCTCATTTTGCACTCCTGTAAATCCAGCATGGCACACAGGCCTGTGTGTGAGAGCAGTATCAGTGACAAAGCTGTTCCTTGTGGACTGGAAGTCCATAGTATGCTGGTGTGCAGTGCTGAGGCAGTAGGTGTTAACACACTGGAGTACAGTCTATAGTGCTGTCTTGTTCCTGGCTGCCTTCCAAGGCGTGGTGGAAAGCAGTGTCAGCTTTCTGCTTTCAAGGGTAGAAACATCACTCTTGGAAGCTCAGAACTGACACCTGTCACAAACCTGTCTGTATTTCACTGATGTATTTCGAGAACACAAGTACCGTGTTTGTTCAATTCAACAAGATTTTCTTGAGCCTTATTTTTTTCTACTTATCATCTTTTATGGCAGAATCACAATCAAAAACATAGTTATTTGAAAGTTTTCTTTTTGTTCATTGACTTATATATATGTTGAACTCCTTGGTTTGCTAGAATTATATTTGACATGCCTTGATCACTTTAAAGGATATATCTTGCTGGGCTATTAGTTCATTTTCATGCTTTTGCTTTGCAATTACCAGTTTAACATGGGGTTTGTTAGCAATTTTAGTTTCTTATTTTACTTGCATCATTCATGCAAAATTAAAAGTAAATTTTAAGCTAGCAGCAAGGCTAACAGGAAGGTGTATATACACTTTCCATTAAATGAAAATTGCTGAGCTGTGCAAGCACAAGATACTGAATCTGTTTACTGAATGGGAGAAGGATACTGTGGCTTCAGAATACACCTAATAAGTTTATCCTAAGGAAAAAAGTTCTGTTTCTTGAAACTGCTTTGTAAAGTATCCAATAGACTTGTAATACCTGCAGTTACAAGTTCTGATGCCAGGCTAATGGATAAAAGAATGTACTGTGAACTCTGGGACATGTTGACTGAACAATGGTGATTTTTGCAGTTTAGGGGAAGAATTGTGCAATTACAGTGGAAGAAAGATTCTGTTAGTCTAAAAGCTCCTGCTGAGTGCTGAAAAATGGACAGGACGGGATGTTCTTTGGGATCAATTTGTGTCAAATTGCTAGCATAGCAGTCTTCTGTGAACTAGGTAAAATTCCAAGAACATGTGTTTAAAATAAAGTTAATAGCAACTGTTCTTTTCTGTGAACATAACTCTAGAAGTCTTGTGCATGCCACTGAGCATTATATTACTGCTAAGTTAGGGACTAGGAGTCTTCCCTGAAAAAAACAAAATTCTGTTCAGTTACTGCAAAAGTTAGTGTACTTTGGGAAAATTTTGCTTGAACTAAAGAGTATGAGCTTCTTCCAGTGCAGAATGTTGTCTGAAAATCACCTGACATGTCTGCTAACACTACTGAGCTGAAACTGTGAAACAGTGGAATAAAAATTGTGTTTATATTTTTTTAAATAAAGCTCTTTTAAACTTCAGTGCAACATCCCAGTGCAACTAAGGTTTAAATCTGCTTATAATGTGCAGTTTCTTAGTCATCCTATATACTCTTTGTGACTTTAAGTTGAACATGTTTTGGCAGCTGTTTGCACTTTTTTGTAATCTGCATGACCTTGGGAATATAAATGCAGCACACTTATCATGAAGCGCTACTCATTTTGTGTTGGAATAGATAAATTCTTTTTCTGGTAGCAAGTGTGATGGCTGCCATTTTAATTTGGAGTGCAAAAAGGTTGCTGTTGCATTTAAAAGTTGTTCTTATAAAGGTATCAACTTTCCACAGTTATTTCACTTCAGGGCTGCTGCCTGGTGGGGAGTGAAAGTCCCTCCAAAATAGAAACATACTTCCAGTTAGTTACTTGCTATTAGTAACCTAAGGATTAAATTACAACATAATGGATCATAACTGTACTCAGCCTCTCAAACTGAGGTGTGTTGCTATATCCTTTAAATTTGCTAAAGTCACTAATGTCTTGTCCTCCTTGGTTTGAGTTTTCTGCAACTTGTCCTTGAGCAAGTAATAGGCTGCTACTTCCTGTGGGGGGAGGACACGTGAAAGGGGATGAATTTTTAAATGTTGAGGTAGATGATTGAACAGCAGAACTGTTATCATGTTGTCACTTTGGTTTTTTTCTTGGTCACTGAGTGTGGTATAGGTGAGTTCATGGTGTTACTGGAATCCCTGTAAGAGGTAAATAAATATATCTTTAAATAAGTAAATAAGTGTTGAAATAATCCAAAGCTTATTTGACATGTTTCATAGAATCATAGAATTTTAGAATGTGCTGAGTTGGAAGGGACCCATCAGGATAATCGAGTCCAATTCCTGGCCCTATGCAGGACACCCCAGCAATCACACCATATACCTGAGAGTATTGTCTGAACCTTTCTGAACTCTGTCAGGCTTGGTGCTGTGACCACTTCCCTGGAGAGCTTGTTCTAGTACTCAGTCACCCCCTGGGTGAAAAACTTTTTCCTGATACCCAACCTAAACCGCCCCTGACTCAACTTGATAAGGAGAGAGACAGAGAGACCACATGGAGTCTTGTGTATTTATAGAGTTCAGTTTTCCCTCCCAGGCAGGATATCCGGGCAGTACCTTAAAGGCCAGAGTGAGTTGTGCTGTAGCCAGTCACAGGCTGCAGGAGTGTGGTGTGGGCGGGCTACCAGGCAGGTCTGCCTTGTCTGACAGTCTGGCAGCAGGGCCTTCAGCTCTGCATGGACTGCAGGCCTTGCCTTCTGGCTCTGCCCTGTGCCCTCAGCACAGGCCTTGTGTGCAGGTCTTACCATGTTCCTGCAGGTCTAGGCCCAGCCCTTCCCCATATGCACACACACACTCACAGTGAGTTGGTTCTGACCCATATCAGTAATTCAGTGAGATTCAGATCCAGGATCTCACATTCCACCCCTGGGTTGGGACAACCACTGGAATCATATTTAATTGGATTTTCTTCTTCTTGTAGCAGCAGCAGTAGAAGAACCTAGCTGACAGAAGGAAAAGTACAGAAGAAAGGAAAGCAGTGGGCAATTGTTATACTACTAAGCAAAAAAACCCCCCAGGCATTCAATCAATATTGAAAATCCACTATGCAAATCATTATCTCCCACCCCTTCAGTCTTCAATATTGCAAACGAGATGTAATTCAGAATGTGGGTAGAGAGTTCAGGAAGTCAGTCTTGTCTGTTGCAGTGACTGGAACAGTTCTTTCACTTTCATCCATGGACAGCATCATTTTTCAGTGATGTGCAGTGCTTCAGAGTCTTTGCTTACTTAATAATACACTCAGCATTAGACAATATTAGAAAACAAATAAATACACGTATCCCAGACCAGCCGTGTCCCTCCCAGAACAGGGACAGAAGACAAAAGAATCCACCTCCGCCCAGCCACGCGAAACCGGCAGTTTAAACCTTGCTGAGTCAGGGTATATAGGTTCCCCGGCTGGAGTGAGTTAGGCCTCCACCCGGTTACTAAGCAACAAACGACTTAAGCTGTGTGACCGCTAACACCTTACCTCTTCCTTTGCAAAGACAGACTTCAGCAAGCGGGTTTTTTTCTTTTCTCCTGGCAAAACCTGTTTTTTTCCCCAGGGGTTTTATTTTCTTTTGCCAAACTCTCTAGTTTTTTGCTGAAAATACCAAATTTTGCCAGTTATTCCTCAGCACCTTTTCTGAGGGCTAGGAGAACTTAAAAAGAAAAGAGAAAACAAAATGTTTCCAAAGTTTTTGCAATTGTTGAAATATTGGCCAGAAGTTGACATAATTTAACAAAATAAGTTTCTCAGTCACGAGAGTGGAGAGAACATACCTACCCCTCCTCTTCCACTCATGAGGGTGTTGAAGATCCCAATGAAGTCTGCCCTCAGTCTCCTCTTCTCCAAGCTGAACACACCAAGTGACCTCGGCCAGTCCTCGTGAGACTTTCCCTTCAGACCCTTCACCATCCTTATGGCCCTCCTTTGGACACTCCCTAATAGTTTAATGTCTTTTTGATATTGTGGTGCCCAAAACTGCACAGAATATTCAAGGTGGGGCCACCCCAGTGCAGAGCAGAGTGGGACAATCCCCTCCCTCGACTGGCTGGCAATGCTTTGCCTGATGCCCCCCGGACATGGTTGGCCCTCCTGGCACCACTGACTCATATTCAACTTGCTGTCAACTGGGACCCTCAGGTCCCTTTCCACAGCTGCTCACCAGCTTTTCATTTCCCAGTCTGTATACACAACCAGGGGCATCACATCCCAGTTGCAGAATCTGGCACTTGTTAAATTAGTGTAATCTAATGTTATTTCTCATAGGATAGCAGTCATGTACTACATGACTCTCTGCCTATATCAGTTTGCCAAGCTTGATGAGACCTGGTTTGAGATTGTGAAACAGAGCAAATAGCTACCTAAATGCAGCTGCCTTCATTAGTTTTAACGTATATTGTTCTTCAAGGCCAGGGGTGTAAAGAAAATATGTTTCTGAGTAATGAATAGAAAGTTAAATATGTGCTTTAATACAGGAAATGTAGTAGTTACCCTACTTCTATAAAATATTTTGAGTCAATGGCTTAAAGGTCCTTAGGCTTTTGCAAAAGCCTGTCAGCAACAAAATGTTGCATTTTGAGCAAGGTTCATAAATAGCTAATGAAACTTACTCTTCCTGCTTATGTCAAAACACAGCTTGTTTTCCGAGTTTGATTTTCTTTTTTTCCCTTTCTCTTTCAAAGATAGCTGTAGTATGGTTGAAGAACTAAAATAGTGTTCCTGTTCTAGGTGTGGACTTCAAGGTGAAAACTATTTCAGTTGATGGAAACAAAGCTAAACTGGCAATATGGGTAAGTCTCTCCCAAAGTTCTTAATGTATTGCTTTCCTTTAGGAATAGTGATGGTTTATATAATGTACAGTTCGTATAGAATTCCTTTCTATTAATATGAAGATGATTTGGAGAAGTGGGAGGTTAATACTGCACCATTCAAAAGGTAGAATGAACTGTGGGACAACTGGCTGGTGGGGTGGTTCTATTGCCTGTGAGCTACACTGACTCCAGGTCTAGTTGGGATAGGAGTAGAGAAGAGAAGGAATTAAATGGTACTAAATCAGTCAAACTTTAAAAAAGTGAACGTGGCCATTCCTAAGTGTTTTTAATGAGTAATTCATTGTTCAAAGTCTAGAGAGTTAATCCTCACTAATCTGAGACATCCCTGTCTATATTGCTCTTGTCTGTACTTGACAGATTTTAAAAGGGTGAACTTCTCTGCTAAATTTTGCCTATAACGTTAGATTGTGTATTAGGTTAGGAATTACTGTTGCATGCTCAAATGTTACCTCTATAAAACCATTTTTAGCCTAAACTTCATAGCCCTCATACAAGGACATTCATAGGCTCAAGGTTAGAGTTATTTGTAGCAGATGCATCTGAAAGAGAGACAGTGTTTGTACTCATAACTTTAGCGTATTCAACTTCTACTTCAGCTAAAAGTAGAATTTCTGCATTTATGGCCATGAAGAAAGAACAGGTACTTCCAAGCTATTTTTAAAATATTCTCCATAAACCTGCAGACTTACGTGACTTGAAGCATCTCTTGAATATTCAGACCCAGTTGTGTTGTCTTGTAGCAAGAATAAAACCTTGTTTCTCATATGAGCAAGATGCTGCAGTTTTTCCCTTCTTGGGAAGTAGTAGTGAAACATGAAATATGTATTGCAATACTTGTATTGCTTTGAGGGCGGTTCATGTCTCAAGTAACAAACAGGATTTATGTCTTAGTTACAATAGTAATGATCACTAAAATAAATAGGTTTGACAAGGAAAATAACTGAAATAACTTGACAGAAAAAAAAGGCACATAGGAGGAAAACAAGACCAATAGCAGAATGATGAATGATAATGGGATGGAAAATATTACATAGGACTAATTTAGGGTTTAGTTTTTTCATATTGGTAAATATAAAGAAATAATCCTGAGGTATACTGGAAAATAAAAACTTGTAAATGTTCATCATTACACAGAAGCAGTTTGAGATGGATGGGATTGACTGAGTGGTTTGTAGAATGTTGGAAGTCCAGTTTTGTTATTCAGGTTTTGTCATGGAATCCCGTGTTTCACGTGTCACTTCTCACCTGGGTAAATTGATTAAATATTCTGTGCATAAAGTCTGCAATAAATGTGCTCTATACCTTAATCTCTGATAAGAAAACAGCAATATTTAGGGTTTTTTTTGCAGAGCTTTTGGCACTTTAAATTTGAGGCTGTAAGCTCAAATTTACTTAAAACCAGAGAAACCTGTTTCTCAGAGAAACCATGTTTCTGCTTCTGCTCTGTCATAGTGTGTTTATGCATTTACCCTGGCACTCAATCAAATTTAATTGGACCAAGCGATTGAAGTGAGGGAACTGGTTTTGGTGCCATGGGTGTGATGCTTGTTACAAAACCTTAGTTAGTACTGCAGCTATGCTTCTCATGCTGGTTGCTGCAGTACTGGGTGCAGAATGAATGCCCTTGCAGAAACAGCTGTCTTACTGCCATGTAGTTCAGTTATTTACTGCATTTAACAGTTAGAAGGTGTTTCTCAGGGTAGATTACATAATAAAGTTAATGTGTAGTAAAACAGCAGGAGAAGGAATAAACTCAGCTAATCTGGTAGTGAAATACACTTTAAGTCTTATTTTGTATGTTCATTAGAAGCAGAATACCTGAAAGCTAAACTAGATGGTGCTCAAATTCTGAATAATGGAACTTTCTGATTGGCTTTTTAGGACACTGCAGGTCAGGAGCGGTTCAGAACATTAACACCCAGTTACTACAGAGGTGCACAAGGTGTTATCCTAGGTAAGTATAGCCTTACATGCTATTCTGAATGTTTGTATTTTTCATGCATGGGAGTTACATAAACTCATATAACCTTTACATAATATCTAATTGGTATTAAAAAATCATTGTATCTGTGTGGAACAGTTCATATGAAAGGATCTTGATGTCTGACTTCTTTCTCATGTAGTTAATATGACCAGCGTGAGTACCTCTGATTTTTGGATGAGATAAAATCTACTGCTATTTGAAAGGATAACTTGGAGCCGTGGTCCCTGTGCTGTCAGGAATTTGTCTTTTATTTATTTCCTTTTATTTTTACCTGTGTTTACTAAGTCGAATGTAAAAAAAAAATAAATATTCTCCTCAGTGTATTCTCTCTGTATCAGTATGTATACAGCTTTCTCCTCTCTGTTCTTTTTTTCCTAATGAAATTTATATAAACACTGTGGAGTCTGTCTGGAATTTTTTGTTATTTGTCTTCGTATTGATGTGATGTTACACAGTTGGAATCACTTTGAAAAGACTAGCTGGGCATATAGAAAGTGCCAATTTGTGTGGGTAAAAACCAGGCAAAATCCCTAATTGCAGCTTCAGAGTGAAGTCTCATTTGCTTTTCCTTTGTATATGGAAACCTGTTATGTAGGCATTGAGCTCTGAAGTTCTGCTTCTGCAGTGCTAGAAGTGAGGAGCTGACTAAAGTAAGGGCAGGGAAGTTTAATTTTTTTGAAGGTGCACCTGACTTGAGAGAATTTTGGTGAGACATTGTATCCAGTTAAATTGTTTAACTTGGAATAACCTCTGTCATGTGACTTCTTGATAGGTTTTATTTTGTATGTACCTTTTCCCAAGTCTGAGTTGCATTGCATTCCTGTCAAGGCATGTCTTGTCAAGTCACCTAGTTTCTGGCACTGAAACTGCCACTTACTGTTGAAAGCTGTGAAAGTTATGAAGCACTGTGGGAGTCAAAAGGTTCTTCTGTTGAGATTTGCCCTCCCATTTTATTAAACACCTCCCGACTATTTCTTTGTTATATTGCTTCCTAAAAATGCAAGACAGGTTGCAGATTTGATTGAAACAAACTGTTTATGCATGTCTGCACATGGGATGTGAAGATGAAGGAAAAATACTTTCATAGCTATTAGTTATTGGGTAGTTGATTTTAGAGTTAGGTCTGCTTTTTTTTGTCTACCCTTTCTACTTCTAGCATGGCTTACTGCTTATAATTCACACAAATAGTAAATCATTGAAGACAGTAAAATACTGAAAACTCAGTAGTTCACCAGTATTTGTGAGGATTTCCTGATGTGTTTATTTTTTAGCTAAATCAGTAGCATTGCAGGGTTGTTAAAACAAGTCTTAATTATCACTAATTAGCTCAGTGCTGGAGGTCATGCCATCCTTTTTGCATAGCTGTGGTGTAGTGATGTTAGTAAGTATCCTATACTGGGATCTGCAAGTGCAGAATTCTTTGGAGAATGATAGTCTCTAGCCTGTAAGATGGGGTGTCTCAAGATAAATTAGTCTAAGCTCAGTAGTTGACTGAATGTTAGAGTTGCTCTGCATCAGTGATTTGAGCTGATGGATGTCCAACTTTTTCCAATAATTCGTGTAAAAAGTAGATTGGAATCCTTGGGACTCCTTCAATTTTCTAATTCAAAAAGCCATAATTTTGCTCCTTTTATAACGTAACCTGTCATTCTTGGAAAAATATTGTGGAAATAATATTGTTAATATCTTTCAGTTTATGATGTCACGAGAAGAGATACTTTTGTCAAGCTGGATAACTGGTTAAATGAATTGGAAACGTACTGCACAAGGAATGACATAGTGAAAATGTTAGTTGGAAACAAGATTGATAAGGTAAGCCAAATTCAACTGCAGTAAGTAAGTTGGTGTATTTTGTTAATAATACATATTAATGCTATGTCTTATTATAGGAAAACCATGAAGTTGACAGAAATGAAGGCCTCAAATTTGCAAGAAAACATTCCATGTTGTTCATAGGTATGTTATAGGTATTTGCAGAGATCTCACTTGATTTTTGTTACATAATGAAAAGTACCACTTCTGTAGGACTGTAGTCCTTGCACACAGTCCAGTTAATGATATTTCCCAGCTGCTGTAGGTACAAAGATGATGGGTATTCCCGTTTTTCAAAATTGTCCTTGAATATGTCCAGGTACCTATTCTAACTGTGAATGAGTATACCGAAATACATAAGGATTAAGGACAGAATACAGGCTGTGCTGTAGCCTGATGAAACCTGTTTTGGGGTTTTGTCTGATTTCTTTTCCCAACTGACTTGCTGAATAATAACAGAAGCAAAATGCAAGAGGGAAAACTGGCACTAGTAACCAACCTTCAGTATAGAAAAATAGCTGGTAGCTGACAGAAATCTGTATTAGAACTGAGATGTTAAAAATAGTTAGGTATATCATTAACTTTTAAATGGTGGGTGGGATTGAATAAGGACATGATTATGACTGGAGCAAATATGTTGGTCTCATCTTGCTGCGAAATAAAATGGGTCTTGTAGGCAAGGCCTTGTAATGATAAATTAAAAAATGGTTGATGAACTGACTCTTTATGCATATGTTTATTCCATGTTTCTCTTAAGGATCAACAGGGATTATTTTATAGGATGATTCCAGTAGCAAAGCAGTTCATTGATGAGTCCTATATTATGTTCTTCATCTCTGACTAATGACATATTTTTGTTTAGTACCCTGCTGTGTTTCTTTTCAGCTACAGTGTCAGATGTGGAAATAGAAGTTCAAAGTTGAGACACAAGCTGTTAAGTGCATGAAAAATGAAAAGCAAAATGAAAATTAGACTATAAATATATGTATATGTGTGTGTGTGCATGGTACATATATTAAGTACCTGCAAGGCTGTGTAGATGAACAGGGCAAGCCCTAGTGGAACTGAATGATTTTCAGTGGTGTCTGTTGCTCTCATAACCTGTGAGCAGATTTCTTGGGCTTGGTCAAGTAAGGCTCCTGAATGAAATTACCTGGAATTCTGCTAACTGCAGAAGAAATGAGATCCCTTATTGCTTTTTGTCAGATAGGTTTTATGACAGAGACTGGTCCAGAATCCTACAGTATGGATTCTTGCTTCTTACGGTATGGTGGTATTGCAGTTCTGACTAATATACAGAACAGCAACCAGGTTTATCAGACAAGAACCCTCCTTTTTCTTACTAGAGTGCTTTCCACAGAAGAATAAAGCTAAGCTATAGCTGCCTCCATATACTCTGGTGAAGTTCAACTTGAAAGCTCTTCTATTAAAAACTCTTTTGAGGTGCTGCCTTATGTGCTGACATAAATCTGCATACCTGCTAATTTTGGCACTGTTATGTTTTTGTAGAATATATCGTCTAAGGTTGTAAGTGTAGGTCGTAGGTTGAGACTTAACTGAAAGATAACTACTAAAAAAGTTACACAAAGTTGTGCTAACACTTGACTTCTTGTGTCCCCTTTCCAGAGGCAAGTGCAAAAACATGCGATGGAGTACAGTGTGCCTTTGAAGAACTTGTTGAAAAAATCATTCAAACTCCTGGACTGTGGGAGAGTGAAAGCCAAAACAGAGGTGTAAAGTTATCAAACAAGGAAGAAGGATATGGAGGAGGAGGAGCATGTGGTGGATATTGTTCTATGTTATAAACTTGGGGAAGCTTATTCTTTGCGTATTTAAACAGATAGTGACATCTTTCTGTACATGAAGTCATTAAATGCTATTTTTAGGGACCTTGCAGTTTGCACATATTTGTTTTATATCATGGCAGTGAACACTTGTAGGAGAAATGTTCTGCAGCTTTCCCAGTTTGAAAATGTTATGGTAAGCATGCCCAATTTGCAATCTTCAGGTTTTTATAAGTAGCATAAATAAAGTGCAAGAAAAAAATGCACTAAAAATTTTACAACTGTATCCATTAATTGTGTAACTATTCTAAACAAATCCATCTAACAAACACATTACTGCATTGTCTGCTCTTTGTCTCATTTTTAAATTCTGTTGAAATTATAGAACTATATAGTGTGCACAGATCTTGCAAACAGTGTGAGCTATAAATGTTACATTTCATTTCTTCTAGTAAATGCTTTTTTTATGGTATTGAAACCAACAGGATTATACAGTTTTTAGACAAACCTGCTAAACTTTCAACAGAGCTGTCTAAAATACAAATTGGCACAGACCATAGGTATCGGCACCTTCTTGAAGAAATGCTTTGAAAACTTCCTTTGCAAAGCTGGAGAACGCCATGTTTTCCTTTTAATCATCACTTCAGTTGATGGCTTAACTGGAGTTTTAATCCTGTGATATTTATATGCTAAATTTGTGGTACTCTTGCATTCTAGTTTTTTATGATGCATTCTGCTCTAGACTCGCTGCAGAAAGTCTTCATTATTGGCAAGGGGTCTGAGTGATGTCTTTGTTCTTTCATTGTGAATCAATTTGCTACACCTCAGTATGGATTCCTAATTTCTGAAATGTTTGTAATATAAGTTTATCTCAACTGTAGCTCACTGTGGCTGTGAGATCTCTATCACGTCTGCTTTATGCAGCTACTTGTTCAAAAATAAAACTTCCTGTCACAGACACTAAATGGGAAGCTATAGGGCTTCTTGATCTCTGTATGGAAAAATACTATTGCAATGAGTATTCACTTGAATTTACTGTATCAAAGCCAATGGTTTGTTTCAGAAGACTTGTATAGACTTAATAAATTTTTTTCCACAGTATTTGACTTTTTTAACCTCTTCCTATTGCGGAGTTGTATATATTCTAGCACATGTAGTTTAAACAGTGTCACTTCTTTCCTACAAATTATTTCTTATTTCTAAAGGACAAGACAAGGATGCTGTGTTGTGAGCGCTTTTGGTTTTTTTAAATAATCACTGTAGTGCAGTTGATAACTGAACTATTAAGCAGTTTCTTGTAAATATAGTGAATGACAGTACCTTTAATTACTACAAGGTTTTGTCTGAATGTCAGCATACATGATCTGTGTTTTGCAACAGGTCTTGGCTACTTCTGTTAAAATACATATTATTCACATGGAGATTTTGTTTTCTATTCTGTTTTATACTTGATAGAAAACAGTACCAGAATTTGAAGACTTAACCATGCTAGTTGTTTTTACCAAATATTGTATCTAGTATTGTTAATGTAATAGGATAACTTAAATATGTAAATGTAATTAATATTAAATATACATAAATATTGTATTAAAATGCTAGATTTGCACTATTTCATGCAGAATATATGGGCTGAGTAAATCTTGTTTGTTAGCATTGAGGTCAGAGAATTTTGGGCTTTGTAGGCTAGCAGCAGAGGAAAGTTGTAGGAGCATTAAAATTCTGAGTAACTTTATTTTCTCATCAATAGTTGGCACGTTCTGTAGTGCTGGCAGATGACTGTAATTTATTTCCATATTTGTTTGACCCCTAGTCTAGATGCATCCCTTTGTTGAGAAGAGACTTAACTTTCAGTTTCTCACAAAAGGTCCTTTTATCACAGGACCTGGATTCATCTTTAATTCTGTCTTTCCCAGATCTGACAGCTTTTGTCAGAGAGAGGGAACAGCAGGGCACTCTGAATAGTGGGTATTGTTCTGCAAAAAAATTAAGTCATTTACTCCTTATTCCATTGCAGAATATTTTTGGGGAGAGGAGTGTTCTGAAACAGCATATTTACTGTGACTGTGAGCAGTTAGATTTTTTTTTTTAAGCAGATGTTTTCTAATTGATTTGCAACTAGCTTGTCTGTCTTCATCTTTTAAGCATGTTTGGTTACATCCCTAAGGAATGGGTTTTCCTTTCATCATTGCTCTGTCGAGAAGCTGTGCAGTCAAATTCTAGAATTCCTGGGTCTTTGTGTTCGATGCTAAAAAAAACCCCCAAACTCAGAAGAAGACTTAAAATAGAAGTGTCTAATCGTGATTGGAAGGAAATGCTTCTAGTGTTTTCTGTGTTTCATTATCTCTGGATTTACTTTTGGGAATGTGTCTGCTTGGATCCTTTTGACAGAAGTGCTTGGTTCCCAGTTCTTAATGTTTGTCAGGCTGGAATTTCTGAGGAATGTGACTGTCCAGATGTTCTTGACAGCATGAAACTTGTTCTTTAACACAGTAATGAGAATCTCCAGATCTAACTACTCTAGGTTTAGGGAAGAACAGTAGCAGCCCCCCAGACTGTGAAGGCAGTTTTGGTAATACCTTTTATACACAAAATATAAAATAGAAATATTATAATGCACAGTATAGTAAGCATATCTAACTATCAAACATACTTTATTAATATACTTTAATAAAATGCATAGCATAGAAATGTAATGTATAAATATTTTATATTGGTTAGAGGTTATATATCATCTCTGAATTTCAGTTTTAAACATAACTGTTTTAATTCAGAGTAGGTATGAGAAAGATAACAAGCCTGTGGGCAAGTGTCATCCAGGAGGACAGAAGTAAGGATACTTATGGAAGCAGGATGGAGGGAACTTGAGGGAATGGCCTGAAGTTGTCATGGGAGATTTAGGTTGGATATTAGAAAAATGTTCTTCTTCACCTAGTGGGTGGTTGGGCACTGGAACAGGCTCCCCATGGAAATGGTCACAGCACCAAGCCTGACAGAGTTCAAGAAGTGTTTGGACAACACTCTCAAGCATATGGTGTGATTCTTGGGCTTCTCCTGTGCAGGGCCAGGAGTTGGACTTGATGATCTTTGTGGGTCCCTTCCAACTCAGAATATTCTGTGAAGAGTTGAACCTTATATACTGGTAATGCCTGAGCTTGGTATGAAATGAGAAGCTGAAGTTCTACGTAGATTGGGTACTCAGGGTGCCAGAAATCAGCGATTACATTTGCCTAGATGTGATTTGACTTCTATTTTTCTCCTGAATAGAATGCTGAACACAGAGTGGTTGAGATTGGATGGGGGCTCTGGTGGTCATCTGGTCCAACCCCCCTGCTCGGGTAGGGCTGCCTGACTCAGGACCATGTCCAGGCAGCTTCTGAGTATCTCCAAGGAGGGAGAGGAGACTCCACCACCTCCTTGGGCAACCAGTGCCAGTGCTCAGTCAACCTCACAGTGAAAGTGTTTCCTGATCCTCAACTGGAACCGTGTCTGTTCTGGTTTATGCCCATTACCTCTGGTCCTTCCACTGGGCACCATTGAAAAGAGCCTGGCACTATCCTCTTTGTACCCTCCATTCAGGTATTTATATATATTAATAAGATCCCCTGTGAGCCTTCTCCAGGCTGAACAGTCACAGACCATCATCTTTGTGTCTGTTCCTTTGGCCCTCTCCACTATGTCCATGTTTCTCTTGTACTAGGGAGCCCTGAACTGGACACAGCACTCAAGCTGTGGCCTCTCCAGTGCTGAGGAGAGACTAAAGATTGCTGCCCTTACCCTGCTGTCAGTCTGCCCTCTCACAAGGACACTTTGCTGGCTTGTGTTCACTCGGTGTCCGCCAGAACCCCCAGGTCCATTTCTGCCAAGCGGGGTGGCCCCAGCATCTCCTGGTGCCTGTCGTCGTTCCTTCCCAGGGATAGGACTTGGCACTTCCCCTCCTTGGGCTTCATGAGTTGGTTGTTGGTCCTTAAAAGAGAGTTCATCCGTCCCTGGGTGGGCTCGAACCACCAGCCTTTCAGTTAACAACCGAACGCGCTCTCCGATTGCGCCACAGAGACTGATACAGAACACCTTTCAGAGGAGCTGAATTCCTGACTCTGTGTGATAACTCCTGGTGCCTGTACATGCTGAACAGCAAGAGACTGGTACTGCAGGCACACAGCTGCAACAAACCTGATGCGTCAGAATACAGGGGAAGAAATGCTGTTACTCCTAGGGGGAGATTCTTTTGGTTTGAAGTAGCTGTGCCTCACCACTTACCTCCCGAGGGACAGGAGGGCTTGGGGTCATGTGCTAGGCTGGCTGCTAGTGGTTCTGAGGTGGGTTAACAGCACTGTTTCTCTAGCCAAAGGTACAGAAAGGCCCTGCAGTACCCATGTGCATGTTAATGCAATTAAAGCAAAACAGAGGTATGCTTCAAAATATGAATTGAGAGACATCCAAGATCCTGACTGCAGAATTCTTAGTGCATCTGGGAACTGGGGATTAGAGGTGAGAGCGCTGTTGGACAGGTCTTAACAAACAGGGAAGATTTCATAGTGAAACTTGCATTTTTATTGTAAGTTTCATACCTCAAACAAAGCGCTGATAGAGGGCATATGTGTAGAGTGTAGAGGGCATATGAATTTTTTACTGTCATTAATCAACCAGGAAAAGATGGAGCCTTCTGATCTGTGTGCCCTTGTGTATTGATGGAAACCAAAGGATATAAAATACTGAGATACATGACAGGAGCTGAGTTCTGTTCAGCTAGTGAATCTGTGCTTGGTTGATATCTAGTTTCCTGACAGAAGGAAACTGTTTTAATATCCTAGCTTGTTGTTGTTGTTGTTGTTGTTCATTTGGTGAAGGAAACATAGCAAAATGTTGGTTTGAAATTGCTTTTAAAAGTTAGGAAACTTAATCTCTGCAAGGCTGTGCTTTGAAGTGCTGCTGACAGCGTTTTTGGTTAAGTGCTTTTGTCACTGAGCTGTGCAAGCGTAGATGATGTGTGAACTTTAGAAGGAGCTGGAGCAATTTTCTTTTGGAGAGATAAGAACTGGTAGGTGGAGAAAAATGTACTTCCAGTAGCAGCAGCAGGTGGCTTCTAGTGTGGACTTTGACAGTGAGCTGCTTCCTTTCCTGTGCTGTTTTAAGCTGTACTGTAAGGGAGCATATGCCATGGGCCTCAAAGCTGTAGGGAAGGTCTGTCCTGTAGTGCACACTGGGGTTTTGTTCCTCCAACTGCTTCCCTCAGCAGCTAAATGGGGTGGTACTCGGCTGCTATCTGACCTGCACATCCTGGTGTCCTGCCAGGATCCCTGGTATGAGGCAAAGGTAGAGATCCAGGTTTCATCCTGAGCTGAATTTGGAGGGTCGCTGGGCTGTATGGACCTGGGAGCTAAAATGTCCTCATGGGTAGAAAACTTTAAATGTTGTCATAGGGAGCATAATGAGGAGTCCAGAAAGTTGCAGAGCCAAACTCATTCAGTGCTGGACCTTAAGCTTTTTAGTGGAGTGTTAATAATGGCCTCTAAATTTCCAGCCATGCTCTGTTGGAGCACTGACAGCATTCAAGCTTTGTCAAGAATGTTTGAATTAACAAATTGTTGCTTTTAAGGACTGCAGCCATTACTGATACAGGCATTTCTGTAACTTGCTGTGTTTGAGTTAAGGCTTGTAGGAGAGGGAAAGAAGACTTACCAAACTAGCAGATGTGGTTAAAAAAGTCTTAAGACACAAGGATCCTTTTTCAGGTCTGTGAAATGGCTGCAGTAATACTGCTATTGCAGCATTTTGCTGTTTCTTGATGTGAACCAGAAGATATAACAGCAACTTTTTTGTCAGATCTGAATGCCTGTGCCTCCCTCTACATGTATACCAGTCCGGGTAGAAAGGTGGTAAATGAAGAAGGGCATGGAAAGCATCAATAGAGTGTTGCTGTGTTACAGGTCAGGTACCAGTGTCAGTCTGGCTGAGGCAATGCAGATCTTGATGGCTGACTGTACCCCTCCAGGAAGGGGCCTGTTTACTGGGTCTTCTCTGGTTTGATGCTGCAGAGTGTATTTGAGAATAGACCTGCTGTGACTGTGAGGTTTGGTTGTTTGACCTTACTCTTGGGAGCA